AATAGAGCTTTGTGGTGATGCTGTGGAAAGCCACTCCTTCAATAGGGAATTGTTATACACAGTCCTGCAGTACAAAAATGCTCGATGTAGCTGTAATTTTTTGCCTAATACTGGGTATGAAACAGAAGCTAAACAATGGAAGCCATTTTGTGTAAATTGTCCTCTAAATCTGTATAAGGATACCCTTTGTTTCTAATTTTTCCTAGAGGCAAGTGTTCAGCTGTTGAGGATGGGAAACTTGCTGTCTTTGTCATCCCCATTGTTAAGCTTGCAAACTTAAATTTATTTTTCAATTCTTTTTTCATTAAACACTTCTTTATTAATTCAGGATCTGTCTTAGTAAGCATAAATCATTAATGATAGCTAATTTTTCTTCTATTATATGTCTTTTTAACCCAGGGTTCCCATAAGATAAGTAGCAAAAAGCACTTAGAGGAGCAAGTAATTAGATTTCATGCCTATATTATTTCATATCTGCAGAATCACAGTTTATGCACAGACTTCATTTGAAGCCATTTATAACAGAATTCTGACCTGCTTTCAGCTGGCATTTCTTTCTTGTCATTTCCACTTGAGTAATGTTACAGGGAAGGTGCTGCACACATGTGAAAAACAAAGGAGCAGTGGTTTTTTCAATTGTTGCAAAATGTCTGGATTTTAAGTTTTACTTAGAATTTATTCTTCAAGCCTGAAATAGACTTTTTCTGCTATATTGTATTATGGGTTTCATTTTGGTTTTGTTTCAGACTCTACCCTTGGTGACACACCTGAAGATGATGCTGCATCTCCGCTCGAAGAAGAAAACGTTATTAAGGTGCTATTTTTATTTTATTTGAATAAATTTTATTCAAACATTCTATTCAGTTCTGCATGATAGTGTCAGTGGTTTAATGCAGTAAGTCAAATCTAGCTCTTTACCTGATATTCATGCTCAGGCTTACTCAGCCTTTCTGTTATCAGGAGTCTTTGCAAGAGTTAGAAGAGAAGCAGACTTCATCAAATGTGACTTCCCGACCAACTACATCTTCTAGAAGGAGGACACACAGTGAATCTGGTATCTGCAGATTTATGATGAAGAGCTTTCAGTAGCATGGCCACTTAGGGAGGAAAGCTACATTCTCTTGCCTTGCTGACTTGAAAGATGCTGACAAATACTCGTTGTGTTTCTCTGCTTATCTGAAACAAAATGTTCAGTCTGAAAGAAAAACACAATTCCTTGCATTGCTCCAGTATCATGTTACAGTTTCGATCTCTAGAATTGTTAGTAAGATGATGGAATAACTTGCTTCACAGCTCTGTTAAACTTTTTCACATCAGCAGGACATTATCAGTTGTATTATCTTCATGATGAGAACACTTTTGTTTGTAATTGACTGATACCATCAAATTAATTTCAATTCCCTCTGTAGAAAGCCACAAAAATTGACATTTTGTTGGTTCACTAAACTAAAGCCAGTTTTCTTTGGATTTCAACTGGTGAGAGGCATCAAAGGTGTGGTAGTAACACAGGATGATTTTGGATATATTCAGGTACCTCACCATTCATTAAGCACTTGTTAAAACATCTGGTGACCTAAGCATCCTATTTGCCTCCCCTTTGTCTTTACTGTGGTTATTCAATAATCATTGGCAGATACGTTTTCAAAATACAAAATGTTTCTTCTGATTAGTAGCATTAACAATCTGGTCAGCATAAACCTGAGTAAGTTTCTCAATGGAAGTGTTCTCTATGGTTCTACTTAAATTTATTCTCTGGAATTTCTTAGGTTAGTTTGTTCCATCACTTACTTGCCTCATGATTTGGTAGTTGTAGTTACCTGGACAGTGATACCCTTCTGTCACTCTGTAGAACTTCTTTTTCTTGACTTGCTCAGGGACATTTTTCAGTTTTTCAGCTTTCAAGTAGTATTTTTTGTGTCCCTCATAGGTCACTGTTACATTAAGTCAGTCCCAATCCAGTGCTGCGTTGCTGAGCGGTTTGCACTAAATTAAAAGAACATTTTAATGTTGTAACTAAAACTGATGAAAGGATGGAAAGTCTCAGTTAAATATCACAACCTGTAATATTTAGGCATGGCACAGAGCATATAAAGTCCTGTGTAGTGCTTACTTATTGTAGGTTTGATTATTAACTCTTGTCTTTGCATCCATTTATTAGTTTGTTACAACCTTAAGAGTTCTTTTAATATAGTGTTTTTATATACACTTTTTTTCTAATTTATAGGAAATCTTCCCTTTAAACCACTATTCTTGTTAAATTGGGATGGTAGCGGCTCCTTTGGAGCCACTTAAATAGTGTGTAGAGACCTTGTGGTGATACAGTATCAGTACGGCATGGAGCCATGACAACTAAATGAGGACAACGATGGACAGGAGCAACCT